AGAAAAGTAAAGCACAGAGGGGCTGGAGTGGTGGCTCAATGGTAGAGTGCATGCCTAGCATGCGCGAGACACTGGGTTTGAACCTCAGCACCACATTAAAAACAAACTAATGTTTCCACCTAAAATTAAAGATACATAAATAAATATTTTTTTAAAAAAAGTAAAGCACAGAAATCAATTAGTTTGAAATATGAAGGGCAAAAATAAGACTAAAAGACTTTGTTCTGCTTTCCTTTACTTGGCTTGCATTATTGGTATGTACACAGTATTATTTCACTAGTGTAAAAGTCACTGATTTGCTGCTGATTTTTTGATTTACTACAATGAAAGACGAACAGCTTAAAGCAGTTATTTATCTTCTCCCTCCTACTCTTTTCATTTAAAATCAATAAAGCATGTAACAACACAGTATCCAACAAAACTATAAACCCAAAATACTAAAAAGCTAATGATTTCTACTTTTGCCCTAACAACAGCCAAACATTAGCTGTGCTTTTAAATATAATTACTATCATAATAAAATGGTCAAAATATCAAATGAGTACACACTTGTGCATTTCAGAAAATTAATCTTCTAGAATTGTTTAAAGAAACCACTCTTTTTCTTTTTCCCTACCCAACATTCTAAGAAGGACTGCTTAAAAGAACTGCTTTAAATCCAACACAACACAAACATTTTTTTCTAAGAAATCTGAGCTGTCAACTTATGGGTCACATTTCAACCTGATGTGATTTGAAACAGCTAAGGTACTGAATCCTTAAATATAGGGTGTGTAATGGAAGCCTGCTCACAGATTCTTGATTCCACTGAGACCAGGAAAGCTTTAATAAGATATAACTATAGAAAAAGGCAACCAGGGAGCATTACCCCTTTATCCAATTGTATATCACAGTCCAAGATCTCTTCCATTCCTTAAATTTTATATTTCCAGTAAAATGTTTTACTAACACTGAGCTAACGTCACCCTAAATTATATTTAACCAATGAAGGTAGTTAAAAATATTAATTGCCAAAAAAATTTAAATTCATAATTGGTGAGCTCCTTTTCTACCTCTGCTTCAGTATCCTGACATCTAAAAGTCAAAGAACTCCTCTTGTTAAGAGGGAAATTCCCAGGAGGAAGAAGGCTCAGATCCAGTCTGAGAGCGCACACAATGGAATCACAGCTGACGATGCACATCTTTTTCTAGATGTCTCCATATGCTTGAGAGGTTTTTTTTCCCCCCTAACCAAGCATTAGGGGACTTGCTTGCCTCTGCAACCAAGAATCTGATAACATTTTCAAGGTTTGATGGAAAGAATGAGTAAAATAATGTGTTGCTCTTAATCATATAAAACAGAGAGAAGGAGGTGCATGAGAGTGGCCATCAGTAACTACAGTAACTAATGATGGGGGTAGAGGGTTGAATGTTGTTAAATTTTGAATGTCTATAACACTCCCTACTTCCGACAATTTAAATAAATGTTTGTTTTATCTTCTCAGTTTTGACTCTTTTATTACTAAAATAATACCTCAAGGGCTATAGCAGAATGCAATTAATTTATGTCTACACGAACACCCAAGATTATACTTGACTGCGAATTCACATGCATTTTAAAATGGTATATTACAACAGAATGCTGTTCCTTAAAACCATATTTTCAATTATTTCTTAGTAACCCAACATTAACGAAAACTTGAAAACCGGATAGATAACATAAATCTCATGCCCATAAAATATCTTTTTTAAAAGCCTCAAAATTAAACTCATAGGATGCTTATCCCAAAAGTGAATAGATTCATTCTTACTCTAACACTGTTCATTCTTTGAACTCCCAAAGATTCTACAAATTCCAGTTGGGAAAAGGAGCATTTCTGCTGCCAGGATGCACTAAACACACCAACAAAGAACAGGAGAGTGCGGGCGCACACACACACAACACACACACACAAGCGCACTGTAGCAGCTGCTGTCTTTTTAACACTGCTATTCCTGCCGAGCAACCTGTGCTCCTTACAGAAAAGCAAAGACTTACCTTCTCTGTTCCTGAAAGTCAGGAGTTGAGAAAGTCACTTGACTGAACGCAACTGTTAAAACAACCAAAGATGTCTCCTAACCTTGTATAAACCAGAAAAGTATCCACACACTGTACTATTCCGCAGTGTTTAAGAAGAAAACTAAAATTATTTTTAGGAATCTTTTGTGTGGGAGTAATCTGGCAAACTACATTTTACTCAGACTTTTTTTTTTTTCTTCTGTAGACAAATATTCTTTGACTAGCTTTGCTCCTTAAAAACCCACGCTTAATGTTTCAGTGATGCTTTGGTTTCTAACTTCATTTTGTTTACCCAAGAAAAAGCAAAGGGGGGGGGGGAGAGCATACCTTGAACCACAACATTCTTTTTTTTCCTGTCGTCCCCCAAACGCCAAACTTTCAAATGCACTTTGGTAATTGGCGGTCTAATTACACAAGGAATCAGTGAAGCCATTACAAACAATGATGCTTTACACTCCCAATAATCAGCGGACGTAAGACTACCCCATGCCTTCATTCTCAGGGTACCCTTTAAAATTTCATTGTCCCCATGCTGGAGTGGCTGATTAAAATGAGACACAGGCAAACGGGTAACTTCTATGATCCTCAGCAGGTAAACCCGGCGCTGAGATCCAGAACATAATCACTACAACATATGCCATTTTAGAACCGGGCCACGGGAGTTACTGCCACATCCTAAAGTGGCTTTGGACTTCGTCGTGTCTCAGACAACGCCTCTCGAGGTACAAGAGAAATACAGTATCTCGTGTACCTCTACGTGCACCTCTTACAAACCAGACGCCGTGTAAGTGACACTACCCCACCGATCAAGGTACGGGTGACTAGGGATGGACAAGAGTGGACGGCTCTTGGCGTCTCCATGACTCCTCCGCCCCGCTTGCAACTCTGCTCCAACTGGTCCGGGAGAAACCCCGCCCCCTTTCTTCCTCCGGTCTCCACGATTGGCTTACCGACACCCGGCAGGTCAGCTCCCCGCCTTCGATTGGCTCACTGCCCCATCAGTCAGACGCAGCAAGATTCGGGTCGGTGGGAGGGGAAGGCGTTGGAGGTGGTGGAGTGGGAGTGGGATTAGAGGACGAGGTGGCGGAGGAGGGTGTTCGGCTTGGTCTCAGGTTTAGGAAAGTTTCCCCTACCAGTGACGGACCCAGAAGGCGTTAGACCCACTCCAGTACCCGGCCCGTTGAAGGGGCTCCGGTCCCCGATTCCCGCCCCTCGGTCCCGCAGGCCCCGGAAACCACTAGGGGGAGGGGGAAGAGGGAGGGACCATCTAACCAGGGACCGACCCACCCCCGATCTCGGAAGAGGCGCCTCCGGGACTCCCCGGAGGGGCTGGGGGCGGGGAGCGCCAGCCCGCAGCGACGACCCTGGCCCCCTCCCCCAGTAGCCCCAAGGGGCCCTAAAGAGGCGTGTCCCCAGGACCGGGGCGTGACCGTCGCGAGCCGGCCGAAGGGCCCCTCCCGCTTCCCGCCTGGGGCCCTGAGGGCCTGTCCCTTCAGGGGCGGGGAAAAGGGGGAGAGAAAAGGGGGCGCTGGCGAGCCAACCCGGAACCTCCCGGACCGCCTCCCGCCCCCGGCCCCGGCCCCAGCGCGCC